TAGTTAAATTAACGGCTAATATGGATATAAGTTATATTTTCAATTTAGAAAAAATAATTCTCATAAGGGTTACCAAGTTCAAATTACAACTGAAATAAATTTTAATTAGGTATAATAAGTTCAAATAAATAAAAATCAGATGAATTGAATACACCCTAAATATGACAACTAGTCCTCAAAACTATGGAACTTTATTAGAAAAGATAGACACTTTAACTTTACTAAGCCAATACGGAGTACCACCATAAAAACTCTTTGCTTGAATTCATTTGTTTTACTACCTTGTTTCATATTATTTGCAATTTTAGGGAATTATTTGTAAGATATAAAATATTCCAAAGTTGCAAATAATATGAAACGGAAATAGATTATTTTGTGAATGTGGTTTTTTTTTTTTTTTTTTTTTTTTTGTACTCGGTAGTTATAATTTCAAAATTAGGACTCTTTTGAACAAATTATAATTTTTTGCCAATACCTCTAAAACCCCTTACTAAACAATCTTCCACACTCAGTAATTAGATACGGAGTAAGACATAATTTTTAATTTTTGCTTATATAGGGCTATAGACTATACTTGGCCTAGAAAGGAATTAATTTATTGGAGTGAAACTTTTATTAAAAATTATGCATATTTAATTCCAATTATGTAAATAATAAAATTAAAGTTCAAAAAAAATAGCACACTTAATTAAAATTTTAAGCACATTCAATTAGAAAATTATTTACATAAAAAATATCATCATTTTAAAACTCTTCTCATTTGCACAATGATATTTACATTTCATTTCTTTTGCTTTTTGCACAGTGATATATACATTTAATTTCTTTTGCCTTTTGCACGTTCAATGCAAAAGATCAGATCTTACACGTTAATTACTCCTTATTTCATATTAAGTAATTAATGAATCTAATCTACTCGTACTGACATAGAAGATATACCAAAAAAAACTGAAACAAATAAAACAAACCTAATATGAGCGGTAACTCCTCATGAACTTGAACTTGATCATCAACGAAAGGCTTCAAATTTAAAATCATCATTCGTAACAGCAATGGCTCTAACAGCAGCAATCTGAGCAAGAACATCCTCAAGTTGTTCATTGTAAAAGGCGATACGTTCGTATAAAGACACGATAATACGGGCGCAACCACCAACAGGGTCTTTAGCACGAGCATCAGCAGTATACTTTAGGGCAGTCATAGCGTCGTCACGTAACCAAGGAGCGACGGAATTCAAAGTATTGACGATATTATTTACGCCGAACAGTTTGTAAGCGTTGATAAATTGTTGGTGCTTGTGAGCGGGAAAGTGTGGCGCTAAAGGGCAGTCTTCGGCGCATTTTGGGCGTTGGAATCGGCATGCGGCGCAAGCGTTGGAAGGTGGGGGAGGAGGAATAGGGTTAGGGCTGATTTCGGCGCTTGATTTTGTCGGGTTTTGAAAAGCGACAGTAACTTCGGTAGTAAGAGTTTGAGGAGAGGGAGTAGTAGATTGGTTTGATTTTGGGGGCATGATTTAATAGAGAAGAATAAGGGAGAATGTTGCGATAGTTGAAGGGAATGAAGGAGATTATTTAGGTAATTGAAGTGGGGAAAGGGAAAGGGTAGAGTAATAATCTTTATTAAAAAAAGGAAAATGAAAGGATATGTTTTTGATAACTAATTATGCTAGTGGTGGCAGACTGGCAGTAGTTTGATTTTAAAATCAAATGGGGAATTTTGAAAATATTATTATATTAAAATAATTTAGGTTTAGGGTAGGAAAGAATGAATTTTTTTTTTTATTTTTTTTGAGATGAAACATAATTAGGTATTTAGGTTGTGTTATAATTTATTTGATTTTCATTTATCTGAAATTATGAACTTATTTAAACTTAATTAAATTTATCTGAACTCGAGTAAAACAAGAACTTAACTTAACTTAACTTATTTGAACTTATTACACATGAAATAAGTGAAAATAAGGTGAACATAATAGGTCTGACTTTAAAAAGCCATAGGAAGCAAAGCTACAATCATTTCAATTTGCATCAAATAAAACTGTTATAAATTTAGCAAAGGTAACTCGAATGTATAGAGTATATATATAGTTTTATATTATCTAAATTTATCAAAACTTATCCGTATTAAAAACTTATTTTAATTATAATTTATTTTTTGTAAAATGATAAGGGTAATTCAAGTTTAAATTACAATTAAGATAAGTTATAATAAATCAACCACAAAATTTTATAAAATCAGAAAATTAAGAGAGGTATAGAGAGGGGAAGATGTTACTAAAATTGGAGCTTCAAAGTTTGGGAAATAATAAGCAATAAGGTCTCTCTATTCTCTCTAACATTAAACAAACCAAATACTAATTCCAGTTTTCCAAATGTATGTTTAGCTTAGAAAATTGTTGCTAAAGCCTTAAAATTTTAATTCCCACTGAGCTACTAGTATTATTACCTCTATCCCCAATTTCTTGCTCTATAAAAACATTCACTTTAGCAGGGAAGCTAACGCGGGCGATGCGCACTATAGCTAACCATATCCGAAGCTCTTTTGGTTTAGTCTTACAACACAAATTTAGCTATTTACAATATTAATGAGAGAAAATATGAAAATAAATATATTTAGGGTATAAATGTCCACGCGCTATTTTTAAAAGTTAGAAAAAAAAATTATCATTAATGAGGGTAAATAAATAAATAAATATTTTAAAGGACGTAATTGTTCAAACATTATTCATATAATTAAAAAATATGTACATATTAATGAGGGTATATATATAATTAAAGATGTTCATTGGAGACCGTGCAAATGCAAAGTGAGTCGAACTTTCAGGAACGGAGGGAGTGTGTGTGTGTGTATATATAAATAAATAAATAAATATATATATATATATATATATATATATATATATATATATATATATATATATATATATATAAGAGTAATCTTGTATTTTTTTTTACAAGGTAGGGATTAAGTACGTATTAGTTGAGTAGAATTGATGAGAGAGAAAGTGATGGACCTAAAGTATTTTTATGAGCCTAAAGTAGTAGTCCCTAATACATACATTAATAGTATGGACTATATATATGGAGCAATCTTTAAGAGACGACTTTGAAAAAATTAGGGCAAATAAAAAGGGATTGAGATTACAAATTTTTAATTTACTTTACCATTCCTAAAAAAAAAAAAAAAAAAGAATATATATATATATATATATATATATATATATATATATATATATATATATATATATATATATATATATATATATATATATTTACTAGGAAATTTTGAATTTTTTTTTTGACACAGAAAGGAAAAGCATATATTAAATCAAAATGGCAGTAGCCACATTAACAAAAGATCCGTAGTACAGTTCGTTCATAGGAAATTTTGACTTTTACTACCGCTAAAAAACATCACATACTTTTACTACCCTATTATTTTACCCGAGCAATTTTCGTGGCAAAAATAATAGTTGCATGTAAATCGAAACATATATAGACACGCAAAACGAGATACTTACGTTATTTTTTTTTTTGCTAATTTCGAGCTCAATTTGGAGTTTTTAGGACTAAAATGACCCCTATACCTTAACGGAACATTTTTTGACATGCAAATTAAGAAAAAATAATTTAATGCTGACCACGAACGGAACCCTAACGAAAAATGTCAAGTGGTAGCAAAATCTAATTTTTTTTTTTTTTTTTTTTTTTTTTTTTTTTTTTTTTTTTTTTTGTTTTTGGTGGTAGTAAAATTAAATACTCCATAAAAATTTTGTTTTTGGTGGTAGTAAAATTAAATACTCCATAAAAATTTAAATGGATAGCAAAAATCAAAGTGCTTTTTATCGGTAGTAAAAGTCGAATTTTCTAATTTACCACGTACAAATTTACAAATAGATGATGTACTCCGTAGGAATTATTTTATTATTTACCAGAAAAGAAATAAGATATGAGGAATATCCTGCAATATTCTTAGATACTCGATTTTTACAGATAATTAAGCTCAAAACCTACGAAATTTATGTGATTTTCCTACTCAATCACCCAAACTCCAACCCAAATCCCCTTACTCTCTCTCTCAACTTCAAAATTTTGCTCTGATTTCTGATTCTATACCAGGTATTATTTCTTTCTCTAAACTTGTTAATTATACCATAATTGAAGCTTTTTAATCCAATTGATTTGACAAATTTAAGCTATAATGTGTTGTTACTTGAATTCAGAATACTTAAAATTGTAATGGGTTGTTGAAAGATCAGTGTTTTATGAGTTGTTTGTTGTCATTTGTTTATGCCTGCTACGTGTTTGCTAATTTGTCTGTGTGAAAAAGGTTCCAAATGCTCGTTTTTTCTGTAGTTTGTACTGCTAAATGGTAAACATTTGTGGTTGAAATTGTGGAATTCCGTAGGATGTTGGATTGCAAAAAGGGTTCTTTTTTCATTGATAGAATCGCAGCTCGTCTATTGGGATGTTATAATTCTTTTGGATGTTCTTTGAATTGCAAAAAGGGTTCTATTTTTCATCATCTAAATTGCAGATTGTCAATTGGGGTTTCAATAAATTGGAGGGCAAATTGCGTTTTTTTCGCTTCGAAATATGTATGCATGAACAAGTTAGGAAACTTCCAGTGATCAAATTTATTTTTTTGTTAGTAGTTTGCTCAAATTTTGCAAAATCTCCATTTTTGCTGCTTGAATTGTGATTTTGAATAGGGTTAGATGGGTCCTTGTAGTAGATGAATATTGGTAGATGTAGTAGGATTGAGGCATGAAGCTAAGAGTTATGGGTGTATTTGTTACTCATTACTCCGAAATAAAAATGAGAATTGAGCCATAGTAGTTTCTATATAAAGAGAGTTAAAGGGTGCATGACTGCATGCTAGATGACTTGCTTGTGTTAGAGAATTGCATCAGTTTGTACTCTGTACTAATTATTTCATTGATAATTGTGTATTAATTTTTGGATGTCCCAAAATGTTATTTGCCTTATGCTATTGTTAAGTTTTGACTATTGTTGAAATTCATGTTATTAATTCCGGAAGGAATTTATTTTTCATGTTATCCTTTATATATCTCTTAATGTATACAAAATATAAATTTATGTACTTGAACAAGAGTTCCTGGTTTTGAAATTTTGTTCGAAATATGACGTGTATTTTTAGCTTATGAAGTACTCCATATAATTTCCCCCCTTTAATTGTAGGTTTTTTTTGCAGATTGGTGGAGATCCATTTGTCAGCATGGCTCATCTACTTTCAACTTCTTGCTCCATGAAAGTATCTCCAAGTGAGAAACTTTCCTCCAGATGTTGGAACGTAGGGTTGTCAAATTGTCCCATGTCATTTACTCCACAAACTTCAAAGTCAGCATTTAAAAGGCTTGTTCACCAAGGAGTTAAAACACAAAAACTATATGTTGTTCGTGCTACCACTGTACCTTTAAACCAGGAAACTAAAGCTCAATCTGGCACTAGCTCCTTTGAGAACAACGGAAATTCATCTGGTCGCAAGCGAGTTATGGTTATTGGTGGAGATGGATATTGTGGTTGGGCGACAGCCCTTCACCTATCCAATAAAAACTATGAGGTTGCCATTGTTGACAACCTTGTTCGTCGGCTATTTGACCACCAACTTGGTCTTGATTCCTTGACCCCTATTGCCTCCATTCAAGACCGCATACGCCGCTGGCAGTCCTTAACTGGTAAAACAATTGAACTTCATGTTGGTGATATCTGTGACTTTGAGTTCTTAGCAGAAACCTTCAAGTCATTTGAGCCTGATGCTGTTGTCCACTTTGGAGAGCAACGATCTGCCCCATATTCTATGATTGACCGTTCAAGAGCTGTATACACTCAGCAGAACAATGTTATTGGGACTCTTAATGTTCTGTTTGCCATAAAGGAGTTCAGGGAAGAATGTCATCTGGTAAAGCTGGGAACTATGGGTGAATATGGAACTCCAAATATTGATATTGAAGAAGGTTTTATAACAATCACTCACAACGGTAGAACAGATACTTTACCTTACCCCAAGCAGGCTAGCTCCTTCTATCATTTGAGCAAGGTCCATGATTCACATAATATAGCTTTTACATGCAAGGCTTGGGGTATTCGAGCAACTGATTTGAATCAAGGTGTGGTCTATGGTGTGATGACAGATGAAACTGCAATGCATGAAGAATTATGTAACAGACTTGACTATGATGCTGTTTTCGGGACAGCATTAAATCGATTTTGTGTTCAGGCTGCTGTTGGTCATCCTCTTACAGTCTATGGCAAAGGGGGTCAGGTAATTCTGTGAATTGCTCACTAATAAGTGTTTATCTTTTTGTAGGCTACTGTATGAAATAGCTTTTAAATTTTGAATTGATTAACTTGTCTGAAAACATTTTCTCGTGAGGTAATTGGTTATGTAAGGATAAAAATTAAGCTCACAACCCCCCTTAAATATTGAAATAATGGTACTGTAGTCCATATTAGCATTTAGGTTCTAATTGCCAAGATCTAAACCACTATGCAGCCTGTTGGATACTTGAAAAATATCTTTGATTTTCACAGTTGGTGGATTCCATATATAGAGGTTTTGAGTCCCTGACTCTGGTACTTTCTCGGTCTTGATGAGTGGCCAAAACCTTGAACAGATCTAAAAGATTGATCTTGGTTGGTTATAAGCTTCTTTCTGTCATCTACAAATTGCATAAATACGGTCTTTTCCTGTGTTTGCTTTCTTTTGATTAAGGAAGCAATCAATGTATCTTGTTGTCCATAGGTGCTAAACAATTACTTTTATTTACCCCAAATGATGAGTTTTATCTTTTTTCTAGTAGCCAAACAGAAATTTTTCAGGCGTAAAGTATTTTAAGTTTGATACTAGAATTTACGGAGTATAAATTGACTTCTCCCACAAAGTTAATGGAATATTGGAGATGATTGTTCAAGAAAGCAGGAGAATGATACCTGTACATGTTCCTTTTTGTAGCCTTTTTGAAATCCTAGCATAGATGTCATTCTAACGTTCTTTACATGTAAATGTTTCAGACCAGGGGATATCTTGATATAAGAGATACAGTGCAATGTGTAGAGTTGGCCATTGCAAACCCTGCAAAACTTGGTGAATTCAGAGTCTTTAATCAATTCACCGAGCAGTTTTCAGTAAGAGAACTTGCTGCACTCGTAACAAAAGCAGGAGAAAAACTTGGGCTCAGTGTTGAAACCACCTCAGTGCCTAACCCAAGAGTCGAGGCAGAGGAGCATTACTACAATGCTAAGCATACTAAACTCGTTGAATTAGGTCTCAAACCACACCTTCTATCAGACTCACTCCTAGACTCTGTGCTGAATTTTGCAATTCAATACAAAGATCGTGTTGACACGAAACAAATTATGCCAAGTGTCTCCTGGAAAAAGATCGGGGTCAAGCCACAAACTCTTCGAGCTTAATTTAACAGGAGTAAGAGCGTAAGAGTACCTTTCAAGAGTTTGCTGATCATTTGTTGTGACAATATTTTTTCTGGTGTTGTTTTAGTCAACTAAGTTATTCTTACATAGAGAAAATTAGGAAGCTGTAGATGTGGAGCTTATGCTAGCAGTTCAGGGTTATCTCTTTAATAGAAATGTGCTTCTGCTTGCTGTTGGTCACTGCTGTGGACATTACTGTCCCTGCTCCCTCTATGTATAAATAAACAGTTGCTCAATAGCGTTGCAAAAGAAAAATGTTTTCATGAACAACTCGTGAACAAGCTTAATCAAAAGTTATTCTAGTACAAACATGAACCAATTTTCTATTATCTGCAATTTAGAGTTGAGCAGTATTCACTTTCTTGCTGTATGTGAACAAATAAATTACGCAATCTGAATAATGTTATTCACTTCATACTAATGTCTAATTACATTCTTTTGATGTATAATACCTTTATGTGGTTTCTTTTTTTTTTTTTTTTTTTTTTTTTTTCGTCGGAAACATCTTTATGTGGTTTTTTTTTTCCGGAAACATCTTTATGTGGTTTGACAAACCAAAACCTATATACTTAATGTGCTAGTACTGCATTTTATCTTTTCTAACATTCTGATCATATTTATTCTTTCTACTACGCATTTTATGGATGTAACAAACAAATCTAGGAATTGTTGATAAGAGCTAAAAATCTGGCTTGTTCAAGTTCGGTTATTAATGAACTTCATGGAACACTTGAACAAGCTTGATCAAAAGTTTATTAAGTAAAAAACAAGCATGAACCAATTTTCCACACCATAGTACCCTGGTGTCATGAACAAATCAACAGCACAATTGGAATAATGCTGTATACATAACAGCACATTCTCCTGATGTATGTTACCTATGCCTTGACTGTTCTGCAGCTGTGGGCAGACTTAAGGCTCCTGGCAGTTTCGATTCCGTTACACTGTTTTCTGATCAGCCATACCCATTTTTTGAGTCTGATAAACAATGCCCATTCTGGAATTTGACATTCATTAAGCTATTAAGCCAAAAGTTGTAAAATCTATCAACACCTCAAATGGGCTATAAGGAATCAAGGATTTTTTCTTATCAATTACAGATTTCCAATGATGCATCTTTTTTGGAAAACGGTAGTTTCTTAAAAATAGACTTCGTAATTTTTATAAATTCAATCATTCCTGAAAAGTTTGAAAAAAAGGTCATACAATGTGTAAAAGTTTCAATGGATTACCCTAAAGAAAAAAAATTACATAATACAGGTTATGAGCCATAGAATATTGTTCCCTGATTCTAGATCCTGGTGTATTAGAGTCTTCAAGGTTCCGACCCCTTTTGCCTCCTGGTGTTTGTTGCGTTAGGCATACTCTGATGTAAAGAAAACTATTAAAGCCGACCTCGTACGTGAGATGGTGAGTGCTTCATCCCGTCATTGCATTGAATTTGATATCTGATAAAATCAAGAACTACTCGTACCAATTCTTTTTGATGCAAGGTATACTCGTGATCAGCCCCTTCTATAATTCGAAGCTCATGATTGGTAATGCTTTTATCAAATTTCAAGGCGTCTTTAACAGATACAATTTGGTCCATGGAACCATGAACAGTCAAAACCCTGCAAGGAAGAGCTATTGAATTAGCAGAGCTATCAATCACCAACCAGTCTTTGATAGAGGATAGTGGAACCTTAAACTTTATACCACCCGAAGCAGTAATGAGAACCACATGTGACTGAAGTATCCAAAGTAACCAAGACACCTAAATTCTAATAATACCTGAAGCAAAATTAAACGTGATAACCATAGCCATCATTCCAGTGACAACAAATCCAGGAACGTAAACAAGCAGTTTAATCAGTGCACAATGCAAGAGTAACAAGTTGTCTTAGATATTTAGCTTGTGCATGGATCCACTAAAAATTGACAACACTTTCAGACATTTTAAAGATGATAATATTTGGTAAATGGTAAGTAGACAGATTTTACATATTCATGATCTGTACAACATCAAATAATAAAAGAAAAGTCTTAGCACTTAAGCTCCAGAAAGTCGATCAGTACATGCTCTCTCCATAGTTTGTGCTAATTGCTTAAATATATCGATTTACAACCATTGTCACAACACTGCACTAAACTTTCAAAACTCAGTTGCATATTAAACCTATCTCTTGTCTAGAATCTTAGAGTCCATTACACATTAAAGTAAAAGGAGGCAATAGGAAATCAAAAGGCATACATTGATGTAATGAAAGACAAACCTTTAATGACCCTTTAGTGAAAATTATGAATCGATTTCTGATATAAACGGAGCCAAAACTGACCTGCAGTTCTCAGGTATTAAGTGGCATGCTGCTCGAACATCCATAGATAGACGATCCATTAAGCTCTCCTTAGTTACGCGATACTGGATTTTTCCTGCAACAAGACACCACTAAGTGAATTTCAGTGTCGCCCATGGTTGGGAAAGTCAAGGAGTATGCACTCTCACTTTTTGTAAACACTTGACTATCGATGATTTGAGAGTACAACATGATACATACAAGTATTAAAAGCTAAAAGACAGGGTATCTAGCTCCAACTTGCATAATAGGGAGTGGGAAGCATGTCATACCAAGGAAAAAAAAATAAAAAAAGATGTATCATGAGCAATTACAGGACTACAGTTACAAAGAAATAAAACAGTTGGCAACAAAATAGCTTTTTTGAACACTGTATAACCTTAACTTACCACTTTTACCACGAACATCAATAAATCCAGAGCTCTCAATCCTTTCCAGAAAATTCTTGCCCAGGCGACCCTCAATGCCTTTTTCAAGATCAAAGCGGCCAGAGATATTTACAACTCTATGAACATCATGGTACTTAGCGGCATACAGCAGCACCACATTTCCACCTGCATGGACCTTTTTAATACCAGAGTTAAATTAGGATACAGTTTAAAATTTGCTAGTAAGCAGCCTAGAGCAGCGAACATAGCAATTCAAAAACCAAAAATCTAACCCCAATAGATTAGACTTAAACAAAGAAAGTTCATGAGACATGACAAGTATAGTCATAAGTTGCAAATGCTCTTTAAATATGTTCCAGGCCTTCCCACAATATAATTACATGTTCTAATAACGGGTCGACTAAGTTAATTTCTTTCTTTCTTCATGCCTCATCCCCCACCCGACCCACTAAACCCCACCCCAACCCAACACACAGACTCTGAAATGTAAGGTTGACTATTGACGACCAACACATGGAAGGGAAGGAGGTACCATTTAGCAGAACTAATAGCTGATATCAACACTTACTAAATCCGCAACTTCCAATCCCATAAGCATATTGTTGAGCAGTACACAATGCAAATCATTCATACTATATTAATGTGACATACCATAAAGTACTCCCGAACCCTGTATTGTGTGCTCTATAAAACTCCGTAGCTCAAATATAAGGAGACTTTATATATGCTTCGTCAAATTAGTAACAATAAAGCAAAGTCCTCCCATACCCAATATAAATTTTCCTTACCACTCAAGGCTAGAAATTAGATATAGAATATAAACCTTTAGAATGACCAATGATTGTGGTTATGACATGGCCAGTTCCACGGAAATGTTGGACAACAGCACGCAAGTCTTCGGCTTCTCTGCGATAGTTGCCATATCGAAATGAGCCTTCACTTTCGCTACAAAAAGAGCACAGTAATCAATGAGTCATGTAGATACAACTTTTACCAAATTCGACCTACAGATGTACCAATTAAGTAATTTACTGATTCATTTATTGCCATATTGCACCAAAATTTCCATGCCCCATTTGTGTATCTAAGTCCTGCTTTAAAAAGAGAGTAATGCAGTATTCAGAAAGCCACATTAAGGTATACTACACAGGCCACAGTTGTAAACATTTTTCCTCTCAACAATGTAGCTTTTGTGGGTCTAAAAACTCCAACACCTGAGAAGACTGATAGAGTAGAGCGCATAGGATATAAACAATATTTTGCATTAAGAAGGGTGCAATGCAGAGTGAGCTTTTAGCCAATTCAAACAAATGATATATAAGAGTAGATTTCTATCATTATTGTGTGAAGCAATTGAGATAAAACAACCTTATTCACAGGAATCAAAGAATCTCCACAATAGATTTCCAGACAAAATAAATCACTAATAGTTGCTATTGCTATACAAAAAACTTCTACTCTTACTGCCAAAGGCCCAAAGCATGTGTAATAATTGTAGCTGATATATTTCTGCTTATTTTGTCGAGGGAAGGGGGAATATTTCATTCTTTGGATACATCTTTCTTTTATTCTATTGTCAGAATAGACAAGTTGTATGACGAGTTCACATGGCTCACCCATTTCCAGCAAAGTCAAAGCGGAAGGCACTCATTCCAATATTTCCTATAGCAGTAGCAAGGCTTACCATGGGAATGCGTTCCTGACATCATTAAAAGAATGTTTATTGTATAGCCAACAAATTTGGGCTTCCTTCAGTTAAACACAACAACAAATCAATTCAATATTAAAAAGTCTGTCAAGAACATATCAGTTTACCACCCAACACAACACTGTTACCACAACTTAGCCACGAAAACCATAAGCTTATCTGCATCTACAGCCTATACATGATACTAGAAGATTATCCACGTTGCATTTCACAACCAATAACATATGACAATTGTGGCAGGAGAAAACACAGAGTCACAAGCATGAATGATGCAATGACAATGTAAAATTGAAGTAATTAACATCAAGGCATAACAATCTTTCTTGTCTATGATCAATGATTGGCTTCTCAATCAAAAGAACAAGTCCCGCTGTACAACATCCAGTAGGCGGTCTCTTAAAATTGATGGAGAAAATGCAATGCAGGGCAAAAGGCTTTAATGGCAATGTTTAGGAAATAGGTTATGCATTCTATAGCAATGGTGTTCAACTTAAAATATAGGCAGTCTTACTTCTGATAGCAAATACTTACCTTCATAGACTTTATTCCATGGCACACAATTACAAGCTCCTTGGAACCTGTATCATGTAATATCCCCACTAGCTTTTCACCATGATGATTTGGTATGACAACCTTAGTTTGTACAGTCCCTATATAGTAATAAAGTAGAGATTTTACAACGGCAAGAAAGAAGCGACAATAGCTTTCAATGAAATAGCTTTGGAACATATGACTGATACTAAAGATCGGGACTTAAAGCACAATAAATAAACAGAAGAATAAAAAAAATATAATTAAAATTAAAAATAAATAAATAAATAAATAAAAAACCACTGTATATCAATGAAAACTGAAACAAGTTTTAGAAGTTTGCCCCAAAACTAAGCTGGAAACCACACCTAAAGTGCGCCATCTGCTGTGGAGGGTATGCACCAACTCCCTCCCCGTGCGTGCCCTGCTAAAATTCAGACACATGACAGATGACGATAAGTGCCCGTGGTGCAGAAATGAAGTTGAAACAATGCATCACGCGTTGTTCAACTGTGCAGCTGTCAAGGACCTGTGGGTGGAGGTTAAATGCGAGAAATTGGTCGGGGTTGGCGCTTCTTCTGATTTTAAGGATCAGTTTGAGTTATGGTGTGAAGAGGATGTGAAGATGCAACAAAGGGGGGCTGCATTACTCAGGCTTATATGGGCTAGAAGAAATGACAAAGTTTTCAATGGCAAGGAGACTCCTCACAACATAGTTATAACGAGAATGCAGCAACTTGTTTCAGACTATGACCAGTACAACACTCGCATATATGGCTCGAAAGTAGTCACAAGGAAGAAGAGCCCTGCTATCTGCTCTGCCCCTCCTGAAGGCATCATCAAGATCAATTGCGATGCATCTCTTTGCGTTGAAGGTTGGGTAGGTGCTGGGGCTGTTGCTCGTAACCATAAGGGTGAGGTTCTCTTCGCTGGTACCAGGAGAACAAAGTGTAGATGGCCACCAGAGATAGCTGAAGGTAAAGCCATCCTCTTCGCTGCTCGCCTTGCTCATCGATATGGGTACAAGGACATCATTCTTGAGTCTGATTGTATGAGCATCATATCTCGCCTCTCTAAAGCTGCTATTTTTCTGTCCGATTTGGATTCTTTGCTAGAAGATGTCTTAGAAGTTTGTTTTTTTTTCACTTCCGTTCATTGGTCTCATGTTAAGCGAAACGGGAACTTTGTAGCGCACCATTTAGCTAAATTGGTGCCTTTCGGTGATGAGCAAATTTGGATTAATCATTGTCCTAGTGATGTAACACCGTATGTACTAATGGACAATTTGTCCACTACTTAATGAAGGTTCCGTTTCTTTTGCCTCAAAAAAAAAAAAAAAAGTCTGCCCCAAAACTTATTTGAGCACATAGAGATATAGTCCCCTAAACTATAGAAACTAGAACAATCTATTCCTTGCCACCATGAAGTAGATTTAGGCTTTGTTTGTTTTACTAATGTCTGCTACATCTGGAAAGTCATTTTTCCATGTAAAATCCCTTACTAGGTCTACTCCAAGAATTTGACATCCACATTATGTTTCCTTAGCTCCTTCACAATCTTCTTTCTCCAATACTTTGTTTCTTTTGAAACTAAGCATTGACATCTTTCATGGCCTAACTTCTACATTTGCTTTTAATTTCTCTAGTCAATAACTAGCACTTTCCCATTACCATTACTCATCATCTGTAGAAAATGATGATACAAAAACTAAATTGTTGATTGGGTCATTCCTTCCACGGAGAATCTTGATGGTTGTGAAGTAATTTGATTGTGCTAATGTGTTATGGAAAACAAATTCGCAGAAGAAGTTAAAGTGACCAACCCCCACTTCCCTTAAGCCAATTACTTCCTGTTCCAGAATGGCACCATATTAAACACCAAAGGAAACTAAAGCTCCATGGAATATCATTATCGAAAGCTGGATTTCTCACATATTCCCTGAATTCGTTGCAATGAATACAAAGAAGGCCTAGCAGTCTCCGAGTTCATAGACAAAGAACCTAATGATCAAGATGACAAACAAGCTATAAATCATAGAAATCAAACTACAACTAGCTTAAGCAAAACTATCACTAAACGCTTAGAGTCGTCTCATAACTTTCTAATGAATAACATGATCGAGTTGTTTCCTGTGTTCTGCACACCACATCCTTATCATCCTCAAATTACAAGAAACTCCTAGATGCATATAGAGATATTTCTGTTTTCAGCTGCCATTTTTGTCTCAAGGTTAATGAAAAATAATCTACAATGTGATACAACCACCCAGCCCCATATCAGAATAGAAAGTAACACAAGATTTATATAAGACCTAATAGTTACTACTTGCCACTACCTATAACAAAAATCATGATCAATATCTAAAACTTCACTGAATTTCACTCACTTAGAAAGATCACAAAAACTCCATGCCTCGTTTCTAACAGCTAAACTACTCAACATCCAATTTAAGCATTAAATATAGCGCCTTTCAACGAGTTCCGAGTTCGTCCCTAGTACCATCTGGCATTTGTGGTACAATACCCTTAAGCATATACAATGTAAGCCCAGCAATGAGAAACAAACAAACAATTTAGATCAGTTACAAATTCATCACTTGCAGCCAATCCCAGGTAAATGGAAAATTTAATTGTCAATTGTAACGGAATAAAGTCTCCAATTTCACCGAATTCCCAATTAATATCAAATTTTAAATCATTTTTATTTTAATCAAATTAACAAGTATTTTACGATCCCAAATCAATATTAAGTTTTCTATATTTGGATTCAACTTATACAAATGATAATAAAATCAAACCCCATAAATTTGAAAACAGAAAAAGCCCACAAATTTCTCAATATATAATCCGAAACCCATTTGCAGGATCACATTGTTATTATAATTTTATAAGATTAAGGTGAGAATTAAGGTGAGTAACACAATATAAAATACTTACGTTGAGAATGATTAGACTGGTTAATTCCAGCATTATCTTGCCCAACGGAAGAATTAAAGTCTTTGGGTTGATGATCAGCCATACTAGAGGGATTTTTGGAGGAGAAAAGGTGAAAAAAAAAGACAAAAAAAATGAGATTGAGCAAAAGATGAGAAAATACAAGTTAATCTCCAGGATATTGGGGCAAATTTGTAATATTCAGCGATAAAATGAGTAAATTTCGCTAACTGAAGCCCATAAACCACTAAGACCTGCTTCTAAGCAGAGCAGAAATGTTGTCAACATAGCAGAGCAATTGTTATTAATTATTAATTATTTCATCTCCTCCCTAATTAGAGGTATTAAAAAATATCTGATCCGAAAATTCGATGATTTGACCCGAAAATTCGGGTATTCAATCCGATTTTAGGATTTTGGATATTCGAAAAAAGTTTTGGGTTTTTAGATCGGAATTTTTCTAGACTTGCACTTACAAACATTGAACTATGAACTAGGATTTCTTTTTATGTTTTATGATCCTAGGCGTCCTAGCCTCCTAGGCGATGTCAAGTGTGATTTGGTGTTACTTGTTGCAAGAACATATTTAAATATTAGGCGGGTTTAGGAGCTCTTTGAAAAGGGCTAACAAGGTATCAAACACCATCAACGTACAATCATTGTATTTGTGATTGCATTCAAATTACATGCTTTACTCTTCTTCAAGATCAACCTCACTTGATTAATCATCTATGACATAAACAATTTATAATTTCAATATAATTATTAGTGAGCCATTTAAAATATCAAGGCCCATTAGCTCAGTTGGTTAGAGCGTGGTGCTAATAACGCCAAGGTCGCAGGTTCGACCCCTGCATGGGCCAATTTATAGTTTTCACTTTTTAATTCACTTTTATTAATTACAAATTTATATATTTTTATAATAGATAATATCATCATTATTGTGGCCCATTAGCTCAGTTGGTTAGAGCGTGGTGCTAATAACGCCAAGGTCGCAGGTTCGACCCCTGCATGGGCCAAAATGTTTTTGGTACTTGCATTCTGGTTATGCTTGGATCCTGTAAGCACACTTTTTGTCTCGAATTAGTTGTCATGCGATCTTACTATATGCTTGACACAAACATCCTTTTAGTTGTTATATTACTCTATGTAGAGTTGATTCGAACGAGTCCTTCAGCTCTTGAAATTTATCAATCTTGAATGCCTTGCCTAAATTCATCCGTCAAATTTCAAACTCTCTGTTCATGCACTTGTGCATTCAAAACCGATGTGACTGAAGCATTTGGTCGAGTAAACTGCTCTTTTCACTATGGACAGTAGACAACAATAGTCTTGACTCTTGAAGCTTCCGACTAGAAAGTTCAACCTGTAAGAAACTAAGAATACCAAGCAAGATTGGCAAAGTTGTGAAGAGAAAGGGCTGAATATTATCTCTTGCATAATATGAAAATGAAGTGTGGGAATTAATCTGTTCATGATAGTCCACTTTAAAAGATCAGCTCAAATAAAAAATGAGTTACAGAATGTAGTTTTATAATTCTGCAATAATGTACATGTTATGGATTTTTAGGGGAAAAAAATGTCTTAATTAATAAATGAATGGAGATCAAAACTAGAGGTGTCAAAACCACCCGACCTAGATTCAGATTTCGACTCGCGTGGACACATTAATTTGGTATGACTCAACTTTAAAAATTGACCCGATCATCTGAATTGACACCTCTAATCAAAACTACAATGTATGATTTCCCTGTACAACCTCTTTATAGTGCCTCAACAATAACTTTTGATAAAATTTTCTCCAATAATACCATATATATGAATCACATTTACAATTCAATAACGTTTACAAGACTTAAAACTAATGTACATTTCACAAGCTAAGGAATCTTAACAATTGATGCAGTTAAAGAAGGGCAACGAGAATGAAAATAAGAAGAGCAGCAACGAAAGAGTACTTAAGCGCAGCAATTACGATAGCCAATGAGACAGCTAACAGCTGCCACACCACCTGGACACTCGCCCATGTAAGCAGACCTGTCAGGCCCACAGCCAATACATTGTCTGGATCTGGATCAAGCAGCAAATCAGTCCATCTCAGTTTGAATAATGGTGTCTGCTGATCGTCACTGGCCTCAGTACCATTTTCATTGTTGGGTTTTGGCTCTTTGCTTATCTCATTTTCATCTCCATTCTTCTGCTCTTTAGCACAAACCACAAGTTTCCTAAGGTTCTGAAATTGCTTTCGAGGGGTTACATGATATGGCCGGATTTGGTGTGTCATGCATCGTCTTGGAGTTGGGATTGCAAGTATTCTGATGTCTGAAAGAGTTTTAACACCTAACATAGCACAGCCAAAACTGACAATCAAGAATTAGTCTTTAGTGAACATATTGAACAACAGATTGGACAGGATTTGAGACAGACTAGAACAATCCGCTGCTTCAATTCAGTTATTTGTATATTTATATATGTCCTCATTATTTTTATATGGAGTGTTTGTTATGTGCAATTCTCACTCGGAAATTAATGAGCATTCAACGAGACCTGACCATATATTAAAGTACATCTATGGCTTGCAAAGAAACATACATTGGCTCTAAACAATCAAGTGGTTATGGATACTTCTTTATCCACTCCAAAATTAATGAGAATTAACAAGAAAATGGATTAAGATATTTCCCAAGTAGCATATGTTGACACATTACAGAAAAGAGAATCGCCTCTTCTATAGATGCTTGATTTGACACTTTGAGTATATACAAGAACTTAAACTACTTACAAAACATTTTAACAGACGAATATAAGACCGGTTACGGAAGGAAAAATAATTTGTAGCACTTGTCTTTGCCCAACACGTTCCACTGAGTTCCACAACTGAGCATGACAGGTGCTACAAGATGGTATCATCGCAGCTAAACTAGTGGCATAGTATATACATCAAAAATAGGTGAAATTTTCAGGTGGAAATTTATGCAACATACGAAGTATAAACATATTCATTCTGGAATTAATCTGCCAAAATCAGGACAAACATCGCCTTTATTTATTGTAAATGAATTTCAAGAGCTATGTTCAACCAACAATCAAAAACAAACAGATTATACACACCTAAAAATAACCCCATTTATAACTTCATCAGAAGCCAATCTTATGTAAGAGGCAATGAATCCTGTTGAAAATAATCTATTCCCTTAATCTAAAGATAGAAAACAACTCTATCCTAATTCCATTCACCTAATGTTTCCCCATTTCAACTAAAACCAATTCAAATATACATTAGTATTCAACATTCTAGCTGGACTGGATAATATTACAACCGTGAATCGATTTCGTTCTTTTACATTGATCTAAAAGTTACAAGAATCCGACCTTGTTGTTCACCTTTCCACTTTGCAAGATAGCAATTTTCTTCAACTTTCTATTTCCAGTGTCTATTACATACTCTCACAAATAAACAAGGCCCAATATCTACATTTCTCCCCCTTCATAAGCAAACTCAATCAAAATTACTAATTTTATGATCTATAATCCACAATTTGTTCACGAGCACTCTCAAACCTCTCCAGGTTTCCCAATTATGACAACCCAACTGCATAATTAATATCTCTAATATTCATCAATTATAGGGTTTTTCTGCTCTACAATATTAATATTAAAAACATAATTTGCAAAAAATTAATTAAAACATGCTAATTAAAGGTCAAATTCGCCAGAAAATTTTCCAAATAAATCAATCATCACATTCAAAAGTAAGCACAAGATCATGAATCAATAGTAAAATGAGGGGAAGAAGCAGAGATAGGGATAGCTTACCAAAAGGATTTCGTCAGTCGGAAGAGAAGAGAGAGATTGCCGGAAAATCAATTTGCCGGAGGTGTTCTGAGCGTATGATGACAAATGAGTACGAGGCAGTTCACTTCTGAAGCGCTTTGTGTGGCACAATTGCCTGTTTGTCTAGACACCTCAAATGGGTTAACTTGGTCAATTTTTGTTCCGGTTGGTCATGGTGTCAATTTGGGAATTTCAGGTGATTGGGTTGGGTCTAGTTCGTCATGTTATATCATTGTGTCAATGTAGGTCGAATTGTTCAACAAATCACTTTAGGTAAGGTTGGATCTAATTGGATCGGGCCATTTTTGGACAATTCTAGATTTGAGTCAATTTTCATATCACTTTAAGGTGAATATTAGTCTTTGATAACTTTTGCGGGTTGTTTTAGGTTTCAAATTGAAAATTGTGTTTAAAACTCTTGTTTATTGGCTCAAATCAATATGGTCCCTAAACAATTGTGAAACACGAATTTGATCACCTTATCCACTAATCACTTATGGCACAACTTTGTAAAGGGGTGACTTTTATGTGATTTAAGGTGACTATAATGAAATTTGGGGGTAATATTATTCACTAAGGGCCTGCCTGAATGCCAGTAGAAGGAGGGTAAAAGCTATGGGAAGAAAAATTCAGATTTTTTTTATTTGCCTGGATGGGGAGTAATATTAAAGAAATTGAGGAAAGTGAAAAATCATGGGAATTTGAAAATGTAAAGGTTATTTGGTTGAAAATAAAAAGTGTAAATGAGGGAATTGCAATCATGGGAATTATGACTTCCCACAAAACATGGGAAGTTAATTACCTAACCCCCCCTTAGTAAGTCAAAATTCCCATGATTTGCAACTTTCTTCATGCCAACCAAACAACTTTATGCAATCCCATGAATTTGATGTAGGAATTTAATTCCCATGAAATCCAAATTATTATGGGAAGTAAATTCCCATAGCAACCAAACGTCACCTAAGAGGATAATATATTCCCCTAAAAACGAGGATAAAATTAGTGAACTGTTAAACATCGCCCGCAAATTCCTACATAAAGCCCACAAAATAAGAGTGAAATGACACTTTTGCCCTCAAACTAAAAAACACAATTTCTCTCTCTACTCTCTACTTCCACTTTCTCTCTTAAATTATTTTCAGAGCTATGTCGAG